ATCCAATATGACTAGTGTTCTTTTTAAAAATTTTTTAGATTTTTTAATACTGTCTACAAGAGATTATTTATTTACTTAAAAAATTATTTTTTTTCTTTTGGCTGCCCTGCACAGCATGCGGAATCTAAGATCGAACCTGTTCCCCGTGCACAGGAAGCTCAGCATTTTAACCACTGGGCTCCTAGGAAACTCTGTGACTGGTGTTCTTATAAGAAGGAAATTTTCACATAGATACACAGAGAGAGAGGGAAGATGGCCATGGGGAGATGTAGGCAGAAACTGGAATGATGAAGCTACAAGCCAAGGAACACGAGAGTCACCAGAAACTAGGATTGAGGCATAAAATAGCTTCTTCCCTAGAACCTCAGAGGCAGCATGGCCCTGCTGACACCTCAATTTCAGACTTTTAGTCTCCAGAACCATGAAGAATGATTTTTTGCTTGTTTGTTTTAAACCACCTGGTTTGTGGGATATTGTTATGGCGGCCCTAGCAACATAATAGAGGCTAGCATACTTGTTCTCAAATTTCCCCACAGGTCGTTTTAGTTCCAACCTAAGAATCAGTAAACGGTACCCTACTCAGATTCACAGAGCCAAAAAGGGAATGATATAATAATGTGTGTTGGCCATGTGGTATGCCCAAACTAATTCTGTGCTCACTATTTTCAGCTGAACATTGGTGTCTTTGGGAGACAACAGAACCGTTTGATTAATTTAGAGGAATTTTTCTGTCTAATCCCAGACTTGTGGCCTTCGATCTCCATATGTCTTTACCATCTCCTCCTCTGTCCTGTCCCATCCCAGACTCCTTTCTGCATATTGGACAGCAAGCTCTGCTTTGACTATTTCCCTCCCTAGTCTAGCTGTATGTGTTTTTCCTTCTATCATTAAAAGAACCCAGCCATTTAGCCCCTGGTTTTGGTGGTATCTGGGTCAATGCCAGTGATATCACAGTTGTGCCCATCTTCAGGATCTGAACTTTCAAAAACATTGTCACAATATTCACAACATTAAAAATTACGGGCAAGGAGAGGGTGGGACAAATTGAGAAAGTAGCATTGACATGTATACGCTATCATGTGTAAAATAGATAACTAGCAGGCAGTGGCTGTGGAACAAGGAGCCCAGCCTGGTGTCTGTGACAACCGAGAGGGTGGGATGGGTCAGGGGGTGGCAGGAGAAGAGTTTCAAGAGGGAGGGGACATGTACATGTAATTATGACTGATTTGTGTTAATATACACAGGGATCACAACTTTGTAAAGCAATTATCTTCCAGTAAAGCAACTTAGACTAGCACCATCTCTGCTATAAGAGATTGGCTCCATTTTGATGTTTGACTACCAACAGCTTTAGGTCTCATCCTCCTTCTACCCCTCTGGCCTACAAGCAGCTAGGAAAGCCTGTGTGCTCTCTCCTTTGGTGCTGGCAGGAGACTGAAGACACACAAGCCCCTTCCCGTACAGAGAACCCTCACCCCACCCCTATCCCCTCACCACAATAAAAGCCCCACCCCCTCCCCTCACCACAATAAAACCCCCAAGCCAGTATTATGTCTTCTATACCAGCTCTCTCAAAGCATTCTAGACCTGCCTGAAAGGCCTGCCTTGCCCTGCCCTCCCCAGAGACCTCAGTGATACAAATAATCTTTTCACAGCCTCTTGCTGTGTGCATCAATATCAACATCTGACTGAACCAGATTTGGGGATGGTGATCCAGCCTGATTATTCAAGGTGGCCTCTATAATCTTAATTCAAAGCACAACAGTGAATTCATAGGCCAAGTCAAACACAGACTGTCAATGCCTCAGTGCCATGATCACACACACTTAAGTTTCACACTTAACTTACATCGCTTGAAGTGAGGCAGCAGTGCGTGATCCATTATTGTGAACCACAAATTGTGGTTACCAACATCAGCGGTGAGGGGAAAAATCAGTGACAGCGACTGCTAAGGGCAGTTAGTTCACGCTGTATCCATTTGACTCTAATAACAGCCTGGTTTTCAGTCCCTATATTTTGGCCACAGATTTTCTGTTACTTTTAGCCAAATGCATTCCTAACTGGTAGGATTATTTACTCAACATTATTCTCTCCATTTTCAGACATAATTCCCTGGGATCCTCTTTATGGCTCAGAAAACAAAAGACAGCTATTGAACATTTCTGTTAGTTAACTAAGTAAAGAAGATTTATGCAGTTCTTTCTTGCGCCTAAAATTCTCCCAATTTAACTGTACCTCACTGTGATCATAGGTTTGGTAATTTTTAAACTTAAATATATTAATCTTCTTCCATCTGGGTCAAGAGAAGAAAATGAAAATAAAACTTCCTAAGGCAAAGTAAGTAACTTCAAATTTAAAATATTAAAATAGTAAAATAAACACAAGGTTTCTTTTTCCATTTTTTTCATTCACTCAGTCAGTCAGCCATTTATTTGAAAGTCTTTGACGTGACACAGACTGTATCTGAGGTTGCACTAGCCCCCACGATTCTGCAGTCATCGCTGAAACCTAGAACTTTTTGCATCCTTAGGAGGGGCTTTCTAGGACACAAGATTTTCAGTTCTAAAACTGGGACCATTTCCTTTTTTTTTGTATTTTTTCCCCATTTTTTAAATTTATTTATTTACTTTACAATATTGTATTGGTTTTGCCATACATTGACTTGAATCCTCCATGGGTGTACATGTGTCCCCCATTCTGAACCCCCGTCTCACCTCCCTCCCCATCCCATCCCTCTGGGTCATCCCAGTGCACCAGCCCTGAGCACCCTGTCTCATGCATCCAACCTGGACTGGCGATTCATTTCACATATGATAATTTACATGTTTCAATGCCATTCTCCCATATCATCCTACCCTTGCCCTCTCCCACAGAGTCCAAAAGACTGTTCTATACACCTGTGTCTCTTTTGCTGTCTCGCATACAGGGTTATTGTTACCATCTTTCTAAATTCCATGTATATGCGTTATGGCGGTGTTGGTGTTAGTCGCTCAGTTGTGCCCGACTCTTTGCGACCCCATGGACTGCAGCCCACTAGGCTCCTCTGTTCATGAGATTTTCCAGACAAGGATACTGGAGTGGAGTTGCCATTTCCTTCTCCAGGGGATCTTCCCAACCCAGGGATCGAACCCGGGTCTCCTGCACTGCAGGCAGATTCTTTACCAACTGAATTATAAGGGAAGCCCTATATATGTGTTATGAGAGACCTTAAACAAGAACTGCTTGGTTGAACACCATCTAATTACTGGTCGGCAGAAATAATCAGACATGATAATTATTCTTATTGTTTTAAGACACTAAGTTTTGCGGTGATTTGTTATGCAGTGATAGACAACTAAAACAGCAACTCAAACTGCCTATGTTGGGTCCCTGATCTTTTCCCTCAAACCTATTCTTTTCAGTCTTCCCTTTTCCTTATATGACAGCTCCTTTCCTTGGCTCCCCTTTTCCCCTCTCACATCCAACTATTCAACAATTGAGTTGGTTTACCTTCAAAATATATTGAGTCTGACCACTTCTCCTATCCTTCACTGCTTCCATCCTACTTCATTGCCACTGTTATCTCTTGCTCATAAGATTTCAATCATCTCCTGACGTTTCCCTACTTCCTCCCTTGCCCCTTTCAGTCTCTTTCCAACACAATATCCAGAGTGATTCTGTTAAAATGTACATGAGATCCTGTCACTCCATTGCTCAAAACTCTCTCAAGGTTTCCCACCTCTCCTATGATAAAAGCCAAAGTGCTGGCTGTGACTCACACAGCCCCACATGATCTACTCTCCGTCACTTCTTTGGTTATTCCTCTCCAGGTCTTCCTTTTGGTCAGTCTGCTGGAGCCACACGAGCTTCCTTGCTCTTGTTCAAACACAATAAGAGCATCCATGTCTTAGGGCTACGGGACATTCGGTCCCCTTTGCCTAGGATGTTGTTCTTTTTGCCAAGATGGTCACTTGTTTGGTTCCCTTGCTCTCTGGAGGTTGCCTTCTCACGGAGAAGGGCCCCGAGGCCCTCGCTGCTCAGAGCACCTAAAATTTCAGCCTCCCAGGCTGACTCTTCCTAGTCTCCTTCCATTCTTTATTTTCCTTAGAATACTTTTCATTATCTGCCATAGCATACATTCTGCATATTTACCTTGTTTATTGTTTGTCTCCCCACTGAAATGAAAGCTCCATGAAGGCAAGGATTTCTGTCTGTTATGTTCACTGTGTTATCTTCAGAGCCTAAGAACAGGACCTGGGACACAGCAAACTTTCAAGAAACTGATTGTTCAATGGATAGTCATCAAAGTATATGCACTGTATACACCAGTACTATATATAATATATATACTCATGGATTTTCAAATATAGAAGCAGCACTTAGGAAGATAACAGAAGACAATCATGATTACAGAAGAGAATGCAAGTGCTGTCAATCTTAAGGATGTGAGAGTGTGATGCAGCAGTTTGGAGATGAAAGGAGAAGTACAAAGAAGGGAATGGATGCCAGTATCTTCATCCTGCAAAATATCAGAGACAAGAGGCACTCTTTCTGGTGATTGGAAAAAGAAGTAAAGTTATGAGCACCAAATTGAGAGTCAGAAGCAGAACTAAAAGAACTAAGAACAATGAATTCTCTATAGGAACATGGGAGATGAGAGTGATGATGTTAAGTCATCGCTGTGAGTCAGTAGAAAATATCGGCAGTATCTGTCTTGGCCTGATTTCCCTAGAACACAGAGCCTGAGGCAAAGCTTAAGGGCTAATGTTTTATTAGGAGGTACAACCCCTGCTCTGAGAGAGTTAGAAGGAAGACAGACAAGGAAGGATTGGCAGCAAGTACCACGAGTTACTGCACTGATGAATGATGCACTGGCCACTGCTTTATAAAGTGCCATGAATAACCATAGCTGGTTCCTTAGCTGGTGACCCCTCAGTCATAAAGAAGCTCTTTGGGCAGGCTGGTTGGTAATGTTGTGCCTGGAACAATCCATCAGAGGGAGAAAGGTAGAGAAAACGTACCTACAATCTGCCTTTGCTTTCTTTCTTCCGCTGATCGGAATCTGCTGCCTGGAGAGTTGACTCTCCCACGCATGCAGGCTGTGTCACTGGCCCCTGCAGGAGCAACCGGGGAAGCAGATCTGTGCGTGTGGCCTAGTGGCCTCCTGGGGTGGAAACAGCTCAGACTCAGTTGGTGACCACTGGGATGGCCTGGGCGGGGTGAGCTGAGAGACTGGGAGGAAGGTAAGGCTGAAGAAATCTGAGTAAATCCATGTGATATAGCTAAGACCCCAATCTGATAAATCAAGAGACACAGATACAAGCATTTTTTTTGGAGATAAGAAGGAAACTATTAAAAGAATAAAATCAGCAAAGAGTTAAAGTAGTTACCTCTGGGACAGGGAAGAGGTTGGACAGTAGAATGTTGGTTATTATTATTATTAGCTTTTCTAGACAATTGTTTCATGCATGAATTACATTGACAAAAATTATTTTTTAAAATCTCACAAACTCAGTTTTATTACTCCCTTTCCCCAAATTCCTCAATGATATTCCATTGCTTTTAGGATAGTTAAACGTGTTGAGCAAACTTATTTCCAAAGGAAATATTAGTTCTCAGACACTGCAGGTTAATATTCTTGCTATCTGTATCATCTAAATTTGTTCTACTATGAATGTACTATTCAAATGCCAGGATTTTGTACTAATCCTGCCACAGACACGGCATTTAAAGGTAAAAAAGCGCAACTGGCCATGTTGAATTTCAGAGATTTCAGTTCTGAACTAAAGCCCCTGACTCTCAGGGGCCTGCAGGCCTCTCCAGCTCACTGTAAACTACGCCCTCCTGCTTTTCACTCAAGCCATATTGGCCACCTTTCTGTTTCGTGGACCCCCACTCTTCTTCCTCAGAGCTTTTGCATCAGAACGCTCCCTTCACTGACCATCACCCCCTCCCCTCCCATTCCTCAACACATCTACTTCGGTCTTTACACTGAGCTTCAAGTATCCACATATCACCTACGTGATATTTGCCTTTTTTAGGTAATACCAACTGTGGCACACCAGGTTCCTCTGTCCATGGAATTTCCCAGGCAAGAATACTTGCCAGGAGTGGATTGCCATCTCCTCCTCCAGGAGATCTTCCAGACCCAGGGATTGAACCCGTGTCTCCTGCATTGCAGGCAGATCTTTTACCACTAGTGCCACCTGGGAAGCTGGCATTTTAATCACCACCTTCCTTTAAACTGATACTTTGTTAAACATAAAGACATTTATTTTACAAGGAAACTTCATCTGCCAACAAAACGGGAAACCAATATCATCTGTCATAAACTGCAAAACTGTAAAAAAAATAATGAGGATAATAATAATGTATTTCTGTATCACTAATGGTCCATGTAACATGCTTTGCAACACGCTAGACTAGTTACTTGACTTTTTCTTCCTCATCTTTGAGTTATTAGCTTAAATACTCCTCCCCCCCCCCCCCCAGGGAAATCTCTCTAACAGCTCCTGTGCTGTGCATCTTCCAGGCCATTGCTACACAACATTTAAGAGCCTACAATACCTGTGGTCATCTACCTGTGGGATTATTTTTAAATGGCTGCTTCTCCCACTGGACTTAAGCTTCATGAGAATAAGATGTGTGTCAATTTTGCTCACCTCACATCTTTTCTTATGTCTCCAGTGTGGAACCCATTGTTAATGCTTTAAAAAGATGTATGGGATGAATAAATCAGTACCTGTATGAGATGATCACTTGACATCAACCAACTTCCTGTGTTTTGTTTCCATGCTCGCCAATCCATAGTCTAATTGCGTGTCTCCAAATTCTTTCTGAAAGGAAGAAGAGGGTGGCCTGGGGTGGCAAGTCAGAGTTACCTAAAATGCCTACAAGAGCATCTCCTACCCCGTGTATCCTTATGCAGAGCGACTTTCTCACCCTCCCATCAAGAGATGAGTTTAATTCCCTCCCCTTGAATCTAGGTTAGGCTTAGTGACTCACCTGAACCAGCACATGTGACTTCCAAAGCAGGTCAGAAAGGGCTTGCAGCTTTCACCTCTTTCTCTCAGCTCACTCACTGCCTGGCTGCGTCTCTCAGGACGTGCCCTCACAGAGCCCTGCCAATGGCTGTGAAGAGCTGTGAAGAGCGCAGCCAATGGTCGTCAAGCGCCTAAGCCAACTGGCTGCCAGCCTCAGCTGAGCCGGATCTTCAAGTACCAGGGCTCGGTCGTCAGCATGGTGAGTGAGGCAGCCTCTAGGTGGGTCCTACCCCAACCATCGAAGTTTCCCAGGTGAGGCCCCAGATGTTGTGGATCAGAGCCAAGCCATCCTTATTTACCCTGTCTGAATTGCTGACCCACTCAATCTGTGAGCATAGTAAGATGACTGTTGTTTTATGCCATTAAGTTCTGGGGTGGTTTTTGCACAGCAGTAGATAATGAGATCGGAGGAGGCAATGGCAACCCACTCCAGTACTCTTGCCTGGAAAATCCCATGGACAGAGGAGCCTGGTAGGCTGCAGTCCATGGGGTCGTGAAGAAATCGGACGCGACTGAGCGACTTCACTTTCACTTTTCACTTTCATGCATTGGAGAAGGAAATGGCAACCCACTCCAGTATTCTTGCCTAGAGAATCCCAGGGACCGGGGAGCCTAGTGGGCTGCCGTCTGTGGGGTCGCACAGAGTCGGACACAACTGAAGCGACTTAGCAGCAGCAGAAGCAGATAATGAGAATAGAGTTTGGTACCTAGAAAGTGGGATTCTCCCATCACAACTCCCAAAACCACAACCCACTGGCTTTTGATTGGGAAGCTGGAAGAAGCTTGTGGAAACAAAGGAAAACCAATAAAATGAGAACAAGCAAAGGCTACTTATTCAAAACTTGAAGGAGTCAGCCACCATCATTTGCATTTTGGCAAACAGTCAAAGGCAGTCAGAGGAATGGGACAGTTTTGTAGTGGACAAAAGGGGAAAACTTCAAATATGCCCTGGTTGGAGGCTGTTGGCATGAAGATACTGTACACAGACTGACTAGAAGTGGGAAATCTTATGTGATTGGTTAGGATGAACATTTGGCTATCACTGGTTGGCCCTAAATTGGAAGCAGGGATAAAAATTAGGGAAGCTGAAGTTATTAATCAAGTCTTGGTCATTTTGGGCCAATTGTTGCAAGAGATAGCTATCTACTTTTCTATAGTCTGTCTTATAGCAGGCTGGATTTCTGGGCTAGTTACTATAGATAATAGGTTAGTTTCCTAGGCTGGCTGCTGCAGATTGTGGGTGAGAATTTTTATGTATTATCTGGCCCTTATCTGTTTGTATATTCAGCCTCTCAAGGTCTTGAGAGGTTTGTTAGTGAAATCTGGATGAACCTTGAGAAGACTGTCAGTGAAAGCTAGAGAGATGAAGAGGAAATTGTTATTGGAAGATGGAAAAAAGATGACCATGCTAAGTTGCAGCAGAAGGTTTAGCAACATCATCACCTGTGATAACATGAAAAATAGAAGATATAGCAAATGAACTAGTAGATCTGGCTAAGGAGATTTCCTAAAAGAATGCTGACAGTGTCAACTGGTTTCTTTTACTTACTGATGACAAAATATAGCTCTGTTTAATTTTTCAGCAACATTTAGAGGAAGTATAAAGAGCTCCAGTCAGTCTTTCCAAGCAATAAATCATCCTCAGAGTTAGGCAAGGCCCTCAGTGTAAAGGTCAAATCAAGGGTGCAATCAGGAAAACAGTGTCCCAGAGTATAGAAGAAGTCAACAGTGTAACTTTAAAATTTTTTTTAAAGGCCTCAGAAATATGTAAGATGGTGCCTCATGAACCATTTCAGACAGATACATAATAGGCCTTTAAAGGACCTTAAGACTAGAAGACTCATCTCTTTGGTCCTCAAGCCTTCAGACTGCAAGGAACTGCAGTGACGGGTCTGTGCCCACGAAAGATCCTGAGACACCTGAGAAACTGCTGTGTGGATCTCAGAACTGAAATCCTAAATCACAATGGGCAGTTGTATTTTTCCCCTTAAAGATTGTATCTGAGGCAGTTTCATATTAAAATCATTAGTGTTCAAAGAGCATTGTCAATCACAAATTTAGACTTTATAGAGAGTGGCATTAAACTGTAGGGTTTAATGCAGCATATGTATCTTAGTAGTGGTATTTTAGATGGATACAAAGTGAGGAAACTATAAACGAGGACACAATTTACAGAGGAAAACAAACAGACCTTATGAACAAACAGTAAAGAAACTCTGATTTTTAAACCCTGAGCTGGGAAGGTATCTGGGATTGTTTAAACTCAAGTATAGAAGCTGGCCATTAGCGCTGCTCCAGTGAGGAGCTGGAAGTAAAATGAAATTATTAAGTTTAAATGTAGTAAAACTGTTGGTTTTCACTCTATGTGTTTCTGTTTTTGTCTGTTTTTTAGAAAGCTTTACCATTTCCAAGAGAAAGAGGTGGTGGTGGTTTAGTCGCTAAGTCGTGTCTGACTCTTGCGACCCCTTGTACTGTAGCCCAACAGGCTCCTCTCTCCATGGGATTCTCTGGCAAGAATGCTGGAGTGGGTTGCCATTTCCTTCTCCAGGGGATCTTCCTGACCCAGGAATCGAACCCAGGTCTCCTGCATTGCAGGCAAATTCTTTTCCGACTGAGCTATGAGAGAAAGAGAGGAGTGATTAAACTTAACCCACAGATGGAACGACTGGAGCAAAGAGGCGAACTTACATGATCAAGTCAAGGACTGGCCTATTTCAATCACAGTCCTGTTTGTGGATTATGAATCTTTTCAGAATACAACTAAGTTCTGTATCCACTGTCCAGGGGAAAATAAAGGTCCAGAAAGAACTTGGCATACAGTGCCCATTCATGGACCCCCATGTCCATGAATGTCTCAACCAAATATATTAGGATAAATACAAACAACAGAATTCCATAAAGCAGTTAATGAACTTCAGGTTCTATACTTTGAAATGGAAAAAGAAATATCAAAGGGTTCAAGAAGTAGACCATAGTTGTATTTAAGTAATATAATCCTGTTTATAGAAAAGCAAATATTTATATTATATATAAAACAACAGTAACAGATTT